AATTTCAAGTAGACTTAAGATTTAAATCTCATAGTCACCAAAACAGCATGGTACTGGTATAAAATTAGGCACACAGACCAATAGAACAGAATAGAGCACCCAGAAATAAAGCCAAATACTTAGAGCCAATGATCTTCGACAAAGCAAATAAAAACATAACATGGGGAAAAAAACACCCTTCAACAAACTGGGGTAATTGGCAAGCCACATGTAGAGGAATGAAACTGGATTCTAATTTCTCACCTTATACAAAAATCAACTCAAGATGAATTGGTGTACTTAAATCTAAGATCTGAAACCATAAAAATTCTAGAACATCAGAAAAACCCTTCTGACACTGGCTTAGGCTAAGACTTCATGACCAAGAACCCAAAAGCAAACACAATAAAAACAAAGACAAGTAGATAGAAATTAAACTATTAGCAAAAAGCTTCTGCACAGCAAAAGAAACAATCATTAGAATAAACAGACAATGCACAGAGTGGGAGAAAATCTTCACAATCTATACATCTGACAAATGACTAACACTCAGAATCTACAAGGAACTCAAACAAAGCAGCAAGAAAAAAAATCCCATCAAAAAGTGGGCTAAGGACATGAATAGACAATTCTCAAAAGAAAGCCAACAAACATGAAAAATGCTCATCATCACTAATAATCAGGGAAATGCAAATCAAAACCACAAGCCAATATTGCCTTACTCTAGCAAGAATAGTCATAATCAAAAAATCAAAAAATAATAGATGTTGGCAGGGACACTGTGAAAAGGGAACACTTTTACACTGCTGGTAGTAATGTAACCTAGTAAAACCAGTGGAAAACAGTGTGGAGATTCCTTAAAGAACTAAAAGTAGAACTACCATTTAATACAGCAATCCCACCACTGGGTATCTATTCAGAGGAAAAGAAGACATTACACAGAAAGATACTTACTCACATGTTTATAGCAGCACAATTCACAATTGCAAAAATATGGAACCAGCCCAAATGCCCATCAATCAATGAGAAGATAAAGAAATTGTGATGTATATATATACATACACCATGGAATACTATCCAGCCATAAAAAGGAACAAAATAATGGCATTAGCAACAACCTGGATGGAACTGGAGATCACTATTCTAAGCGAAGTAACTCAAGAATGGAAAAACCAAACATTGTATGTTGTTACTTATAAGTGGGAGCTAAGCTATGAGGGTGCAAAGGCATAAGAATAATACAATGGACTTTGGGGACTCAGGGGAAAGGGTGAGGGGAGATGAAGGATAAAAGACTACAAATGGGTACAGTGTATACTGATAAGGTGATGAGTGTAGCAAAATCTCAGACATCACCACTAAAGAGTTATTCATGTAACCAAACACCACCTGTTCCCTCTAAAACTTAAGGAAATAAATAGCAATAATAATAATAAAGATTTAAATGTCAAAAACCAAACTTTAAAACATTTAGTAGAAAATATAGGTGAATAATTTTAGAACTCAGCATAGGAAAAGCTTTTTTTTAGATTTTTAAGATATAAAAAGCATTGTCGAAAAGAAAGGATTAGTATAAATATGACTATTCTATAATTAAGGATTTTTATTTACTTTAAGATACCTTAAAGTAAGTGAAAAGACATGATACATACCAGGAGCAGATATTCACAACATACATAATCAACAAAGAATTAATATGAAGAATACATAAAGAACTTCTATAAATAAAAGAAGCTTATAAAGAACCCAGCAGTAAAATGACTAAGAAGAAACATATGTTACTAAATAAACACATGAAGAGTATTTTAACATCACTGGTGAGCAGAGAAATGTAAGCTAAAACCACAATGAGATCATCTTACACTCATTTGAATGGGTTGACCCATAAGATCTCTTATACTTAGGATGAGTACAAACTGATATAACCACTTTGGAAATCAGTTTGGCACTACAACCTAAAGATGTGTGAAGTATTTCATATGCTATAAGGCAGCATTTTCATTCCTTGAGTCATATTTTAAAAAAAAAATCTTACATATCTACAACACTGTACAAGAATATTTATAACACCCTGTTCACAATGGTAAAACTTAGAAACCTAAACAACAATGGAAACAATAAACTATTAGCATGTTCACAAAATATTATACAACAGTCAAAACAAATAATCTAGACTCCAGATTTAAGAACAACAATATGGATAAATGGCAGCAACATACTAACCAAAAAAAGATAAATTCTGAAAGATTATATACAGAATGACATCATTTTAGTAAGGTCTAAAAAAACTAAAACTTTTATATAGATCTTTAGGAATTCATTTACATAAATCTATACACAAAGGAAAGAAAAATTTTGTTGAGTACAACGATCAAAACGATAATTACCTTGGGTTTGGAGAGAGAAGATGAGGTAGCAGAGTTAGCTTAAATGTAGGCTGACTTAAATACAACTTAAATTGTGGGCTCACAGATGCTTACTATATTATTTTAAATAACTAATTAACTAATTAAATAACTAAATGAAAGCAAGCTATGTGAGGACCCATAACTAAGAGTAAATCACAAAATCACAGATAATGATTAATCCAACTTAGTGCACCTAAGGTCCTTTAAAAACACTCGATGCTGGCCAGGCATGGTGGCTCATGTCTGTAAACCCAGCACTTTGGGAGGCCAAGGTCGGCAGATTACCTGAGGCCAGGAGTTCAAGACGGCGTTGACCAACATGGTGAAACCCTGTCTCTGCTAAAAATACAAAAATTAGTTGGATGTGGTGGCGCACACCTGTAATCCCAGCTACTTGGAAGGCTGAGGCAGAAGAATCACTTGAACCCTGGAGGCAGAGGTTGCAGTGAGTCTACATCACGCTACTGCACTCCAGTCTAGACAACAGAGTGAGTAAGACTCTGTCTTGGAAAAAAAAAAAAACGACAACACTCAATGTTTAAAGGATGTTATTTCCAAATATACAAAATTTAGGGTCCAATGTTGCCAAATCACATAGACAATAAAAGAAGCATCAACAAACTCATTACTACATTTTTTCAGTTTATTTTTGACACTAAGAGCACAGTTGAATCAATATACTTACTTATATGATTCCAAGAACTAATTAAATGTTTTTGGTGTCTCTTCTAATAAAGTTTTTAAAAAGCCCAAACATCTTAAAATATGTATGGTCTAATTTATTATACAATCATTTATAATACATAATACTATTAATTACACTTTTAAAATTTAACATAAAGTTCTTTAATATAAAGAACTTATACTGCTGTACGTAATGGAGATACAAGGCTAGACTGAATCACCAATATGATCAGATCAACTTACTTTTGCTATAAGCTGAAGAACTTTCCTTTCGACTCAGCTTAAGATAAAGTCTGGTTTTTGGTTCATTATAAAACTCAGGATTTACAGTAGTAAACTTCTTTAGTTTGCCATACTGTTTTCTCTGAAAATCAAATCCTTTTCTGAAAAAGAAATAAAAAATAAAAATGAAATGTAATATTAAGGTACAAATTTTTTTTAAATCTTTAAAATATAGTATGAAAAGAACCAGGGTTTTATATGTTTACATACTTTCATACATGTACATAAAATATAAATATATTTTATCAAAGTAAGAAAATAACAACCCTCACAGAGCTGTCATCAGTTTTAAAAAGAGACCAAGATAGAAAAGTATCTAAAAGAGGGTAGGGGCCAGGGGAGAGATAGCATTAAGAAAAATACCTAATGTAGATGACAGGTTGATGGGTGCAGCAAACCACCAGGGCACGTGTACACCTATGTAACAAACCTGCACGTTTTGTACATGTAACCCCAGAACATAAAGTATAATAATAAAAAAAAGAATAAGCCCCAGTTCCTACAATTGATCCTGTAGCAACATCTGCCTTGCATTGATGTTTATAAAAAAAATAAAATAAAAAACTAAGAACACCTCATGTGCTTTTTAAAATTTTTTAATTTAAATATTTTTATTGGTATATAACAGTTACACATATTTTGGGAGTATATGTGATATCCTGATACCTTTATACATTGTGTAATAAATCAAATCAGGGTAACTGGGATATTTCATCACTTCAGACATTGATCTTTTCTTTGTGTGAGGAACATTACAATTCTTCTCTTCTGGTTATTCTGACATATATATAATAAATTACTGTTAACTATAATTTCCCTACTGTACTCTCAAATACTAGAGTTAATTCCTCCTATTTTTTTTTTTTCTATACTTTAACCAACCTCTCTTCATTTCCCATCCCCTTTCTTCCCAGCCTCTGGTAACCACCATTCTACTCTCTCACTTCCATGAGATCTGCTTTTTCAGCTCCACACATGAGTGAGAATGTGCAGTGGTTATCATTTTATACCTGGATTCATTCTCTCTCTCTCTCTCTCTCTCTCTCTCTCTCTTTCTCTCTCTCTCTCTCCCTTCCTCCCTCCTGCCCTCCCTCCCTCTCTCTCTTCCTTCCTTCATTCTTTCCTTCCTTCCTTCCTGCCTGCCTGCCTGCCTGCCTGCCTGCCTGCCTGCCTTGACAGGGCTGGCTCTGTTGCTGGTGGCATGATCTTGGCTCATTGCAACTTCATCTCCTGGGTTCAAGCCTTCCTCCCATTTCAGCCTCCCATGTAGCTGGGACTATAGGTGCACACCACGACACCTGGCTAATTTTGTATTTTTTCTAGAGACAAAGTTTCATAGAGAAAAGCTTTCATCATGTTACCCAGGCTGGTCTTGAACTCCTGTGCTCAAGTGATTGGCCCTCCTCAGCCTCTTAAAGTTGTAGGATTACAGGCCTGAGACTGTGCCTGGCCTTTGACTTATTTCACTTAACGTAATGACTTCCAGTTGCTGAGGATGACAGGATTTCATTCTTTTTACTGCTGAATAAGATCCCATTTTGTTAGTGTGTGTGTGTGTGTGTGTGTGTGTGTGTGTGCACGCGTGTGTGTTTATATACCACATTTTCTTTATCCATTCATCCATTGATGGACACTTAGGTTGATTCCATATCTTGGCTATTATGACTACTGCTGAAATAAACATGAAAGTTCAGGTATCTCTTTGATATGCTGATTTCCTTTCTTTTGGATGCATACCCAAGAATGGGATTGCTAGATCATATGATAGTTCTAGTTTTACTTTTTTGAGGAACCTTATTTTCTAAACTATAAAATGGGAATAATAACTTATTCCCATATCTCCGTATCTCACAGGTTACTATAATGATTATATAAAATAATTCATGTGATGATACTGCTACCAAAACAGCGATATAAACCAATGGAACAGAAGAGAGGCCTCGAAAGTAATGCCACACATCTACAACCATTTGATCTGTGACAAACTGGACAAAAACAAGCAATGGGGAAAGGATTCCCTATTTAATAAATGGTCTTGGGAAAACTGGCTAGCCATGTGCAGAAAGCAGAAACTGGACCCCTTCCTGACACCTTATACAAAAATTAACTCCAGATGTATTAAAGATTTAAACATAAGACTAACACCATAAAAACTCTAGAAGAAAATCTAGACAATACCATTTAGAAAATAGGCATAGGCAAGGACTTCATGACTAAAACACCAAAAGCAATGGCAACAAAAGCCAAAATAGACAAATGGGATCTAATTAAACTTAAGAACTTCTGCACAGCAAAACAACCATCAGAGTGAACCGGCAACCAACAGAATGGGAAAAAATTTTTGCAATCTACCCATCTGACAAAGGGCTAATATCCAGAATCTACAAAGAACTAAAACAAACATATAAGAAAAAAAAACACCCCCATCAAAAAGTGGGCAAAAGATATGAACAGACAATTTTCAAAAAAAGACATTTATGTGGCCAACAAACATACAAAAAGATGCTCATTATCACTGGTCATTAGAGAAATGCAAATCAAAACCACAATAAGATACCATCTCACACCAGTAGAATGGCGATCATTAAAAAATCTGGAGACAACAGATGCTAGAGAGGAGGTGGAGAAAGAGGAGCACTTTGACACTGTTGGTGGGAGTGTAAACTAGTTCAACCATTGTGGAAGACAGTGTGGTGATTCCTCAAGGATCTAGAAATAGAAATACCATTTGACTCAGCAATCCCATTACTGGCTATACACCCAAAGGATTATAAATCATCCTACTATAAAGACACATGCACGTGTATGTTCACTGCAGCACTGTTTACAATAGCAAAGACTTGGAAACAATCCAAATGCCCATCAAAGATAGACTAGATTAAAAAAATGTGGCACATATATACCGTAGAATACTAGGCAGCCACAAAAAAAGGATGAGTTCATGTCCTTTGCAGGGACTTGGATGAATCTGGAAACCATCATTTTCAGCAAACTAACACAAGAACAGAAAACCAAACACTGCATGTTCTCACTCATGAGTATTGAACAATGAGAACACATGGACACAGGGAGGGGAACATCACACACTAGGGTCTGTTGGGGGGTAAGGGGACTAGGGGAGGGATAGCAGGGGGTAGGGAGATTGGGGAGGGATAACATTAGGAGAAATATTTAATGTAGGTGATGTGGGGATAGAGTCAGCAAACCACCATGGCATGTGTATACACATGTAACGATCCTGCAGGATCTGCACATGTAGCCCAGAACTTAAAGTAAAATAAATTTTTTAAATGTTTTAATAAATAAAATATAATAATAATTCATGTGAAGTGCTTAGTTAGAAGAGGGACTGGCATACATAAGCTCCCAATAAAAATATTACTATTAAATCACCATGATGCAAATGGTCATTATATTTATTTTTAATAATCTAAACTTTTACAAAAGGCATACTTCCAAAAAGTAGCATTCTATTATCCTATAAGCTATATAGTTTAGGCATGCAAATGATCACTTATTTATTATGCCACACTGCTAAAAATTATTTCTAAGGTTTGTCAGATAGGATTTCCCTTAGGATTGTGGAAAATAGCCCCAACTACACATAAAATAAGTTAGAAAAATAGCATCCTGCTAGTTAGCCTAATATTGCTCACACTGTTTGATGGTTAGAGGGAGCCAAAATAACTTTAAAGACTTATTCCCTGGCTGAGCATGGTAGCATGCCCGTAATTCCAGCCCTTTGGGAGGCTGAGATGGGAGGGGGATCAATTGAGTCCAGGAGTTTGAAACCAGCCTGGGCAAGATAGCAAGACCCCCATCTCTACAAAAATTTTAAATTAGCTTGGCATGGTGGCATGTGCCTGAAGTCCTAACTACTCAGGAGGCCGGGGCGGGTGGAGACCTTGGGCCCAGGAGTTCAAGGCTGAAGTGAGCTAAGGATCACACCACTGCACTCCAGCCTGGGCAACAGAGCGAGACTTTGTCGCTATATAAAAAAGACTTATTCCCATTTTGCAAGTTTAGAAACTGAGGTATTCTATCTTTTAAAGTTTTCCTATCTTAATCTCTTTTAAAATTGATGATAATTCTGTGAAGGCTATCATTCTCCTATAAAATCACAAGTAATTATTTCATACTATAAAACGTACCTCACCAAAAGCTGGCATTCCTCATAGAGTGGTATCTTTTGACTTCTTAAGTACAAGCCAATACTCTTAATGTCACTTAAAACCATGCCAGGTCGAGTTCCTTCCTGTGTTAAATATCCTGGAGTCATGTCCTCAAGCCATTTAAAGAATTTACAGCTATCAGCTTTGGGTCCATCACATGTATAAAAGAGACGACCCTAAGGTGAAAGAAAAAAAGATCAAAATTTAGTGAAGAAAATGCTTTTATTTTTCTATTGTTCTTGCATTTGTCAAGGCTTCTATGAAGACTGCTTGACATTATTGTACTCTAGTAAATTAGTCAATATACAACTTAGCCTTATTACTAGCTTAAAATTTAAAACCACCTACTTTTCCATTTACTTTCTCTTTATGAAAAGATTACATTATTCTGAGAATAAAAGCTTATTTGAAAATGTGTTTCTCTGATTTAAAGTGTTCACTATAAGCAACCTGAATACTGTCTAGAAATACTGAATATCTTATGCATTTCTTTCTATTCTTTTTTCTCATTCACATTAAGGGCACACACCACAACCCAACAAGAACAAACACATGTAATTTGCTTTTTTTTAAAACAAAACTCAGATGATACATTTTCTACTCTGTAACCTAGCCCTTGTACCCAACAACATAGTATGAGCAGGCAACTATGTTATCAAATAATCTTAAAAAGAAAGCAAAGACTTTTAGTTGCTATATTATATTTGAGTCCACAGTTATACCATTATTTATGAATTTTTGCTTTTGACACCTAAATTTAAATCCAAATTTACACACTTAGCTAACAATGAAGTGGGATATGCAAATAGTGAAAGGAAACCGTATTATGAATGGAAGCACAGTTCAACAATGAGTCAAGCCATCAATCAATGTACATTTCATTAATCTGACTTACTCCATAGTATATTATTAAAAATATAAATTAAGTCAGCATATTTTTCTATTCCTCTGGCCTTATCTGTTACGTGTATTAGGGACTAAATAGTAGACTAGCTTCAATATTCATTTCTTTCAGGCTATTTCTGAATTCTCTAAGCTCTCAGGTTGGAACATACTCCCCTTCTCAGTGACCTCACTGTAACTTGGGCATATTCCTCCTATTTTATCAACTACAAAAGTATATAAAATTTTCAGCTGAGCACGGTGGCTTATGCCTGTAATCCTAGCACTCTGGGAGGCCAAGGCAGGAGGATCGCTTGAGCCCAGAAGTTCAAGGCTCCAGTGAGCTGTGATCATGTCACTGCACTGCAGCCTGGATGACATAGTGAGACCCTGTCTCTAAGAAAATAATAAGAATAAGAACAAAATAAAAATACTACACAAAAAGTTCCTAAGCAACTTGAAGGTTAATCTTAACTCATATTTTAGAGTACAGATAATTCTTTCAATAAAACTTTAAGCATTTACTGCATGTTAGGTACTGACACCTCAAATAGAATGCTCTTAATCAAGATTCAGTCTTTAAGCTTATCATGAAGTAATAAGTATCTAAAGCCTTTATAAAACAAGTATTGGTATGGTAGGGGGAGGGGAAGCAAAAATACCTTATTTGGACCTTCCTTTTTAACCATGACAAGTTTTGCAGGTTGACTATGATGACAGAATGGTACATTATTTTCTACATTTTTCAGGTTCTCTCCCTTCAACGATGTGTAAAATGATATGTCAACTTTTGAGAGAGCTTTGTGCAAGTTTTGTGCTAATCCAAACAGCAATATATTTAGATGTTCTACAAAAAAAAAAGAGAGAGATAGATACAGAAGAAAATTAAATACAAAATAATTTTGTTTGCATCACATATATACCGTTTGTAGCTAAACTTGATAGCCTGTTAACAGAGTCATACATAATATAAATATTCATTTTTTAAAAGGTATTTTCTGCCAAATTTAACAGGTCATTTGTAACAGCTCTAGTTAAAAAGAAAAAAATAAAAACTAATTTTAAAAAGATAATACTGGGCAGGCGCAGTGGCTCATGCCTGTAATTCCAGCACTTTGGGGAGGTCAAGGCAGACGGATCATGAGGTCAGGAGACGGACACCATCCTGGCTAACACAGTGAAACCCTGTCTCTACTAAAAATACAAAAAAAATTAGCCGGGTATGGTGGCACGCACCTGTAGTCCCAGCTACTCAAAAGACTAAGGCAAGGGCAGGGCACAGTGGCTCATGCCTGTAATCCCAGCACTTTGGGAGGCCAAGACGGGTGGATCACGAGGTCAAGAAATC